ACAATTTTTGCAAACGTGGCTCTTCCCAAAAGGCTGCATTCGTTCTCACTGCACCTACAAATTATGACTCTGCTCCTTTCACTGACCCTCAATAAACTGAGTCTCTGCCCTATTAAAGAAGTCACTGTGACCACCCTCCTTCCCTCACGGCAAACCCACCCTCCCCAGATTTAAAACACTTCAGTACTGCCCCATGCTCACACATCATTCTCAGATGGGATCCCACCGAGCCACACTCACCATATGATGGCCAGGGAAGAAAATGCAATCCTGTGGTGGCTTCGTGTGGGCAGCTGTAACAGAGATCTCACCAACTGGGTGGCTTAAGCAACCAACACTCACTTCTCACAGTCCTGGAGGCTGGAAGTCCAAGATCAAGGAGCTGGCTGATTCCGTGTCTGGTGACAGCCGACCTCCTGGTTCACAGAGGACCATTTCCCGGACCGCCATGCCCTCCCATGGTGGAGGGGGCAAGGGAGTCTCTGGGGCCTCTTTTATAAGGTCACTAGTCCCATTCATGAGAGCTCCACCCTCATGTCCTAATCACCTCTCCAAGGCTCCACCTCCTGCGACCATCACATGGGGGGGTAGGTTTCAACATACAGATTTTGGGGGGACACAGTCTATAGCGTGTGGTGTTATCAGGTCCCATCTTCGCATTGTTGAGGTTGGGGTTGTGTTCTCAGCTGGGCCTTCACCCTTTTCTCTTCAAGCCGAGATAGTGTATTAAAAAGCAAGAAGGTGAGAAAAATACTACTATAGGATAAATTTGAATTCGCTAATTTCTAGTAAAGGAAAAGTTTTGCAAGTTCAGTACTTTATTATCAGATGAAATTGTTACTCACTGGCATGTGTTTTGATAGTCAGTGTGAAGTGTCCGTTTTCCAAAGTGAAATACCAACTCTTTATGTGAAGACCCAAGGCTGTCTGATCTGGTCCCTGTTTATTTCTCCAGCTTCTTATCTTTTTACTCCATTACTCCCCCCGCCCCTTAATAAAGAGTAAAGCAGCCCCCACTAGCATTCACAGTCAGGCCCTGGTGTTCTCCTATTAAATATAAATGATTTCGCAGGATTTCACACCAGACAAACCCACTCTGGGGTGGAACAAGATAAGTAGTCCACAGTAGTCACATGCCTTAACACAGACACAAACAAGAACATTGTTTAAGTCACAAAATGACCACATACCCCCTTCCCCAGCCCCCAGTGCAGGGTAACATGAATGACTGCAGAATATTTACCAACTACGGCTTTAGCCTTTGCTGTGGACTGAATGTTGTATCCCTCCCAACATTCATATGCTGAAGCCCTAATCCCCAGGGCAGTGGTATTTGGAGATGGGACCTTTGGGAGGTGATTTGGTTGTGAGAGTAGTTTCCTGAATGAGATTTGTGCCCTTATGAAAGAGACCCCAGAGAGCACCCTTGTCCCTTCTGCCACATGAGGACCCAGTGAGAAGCCCTTTATGAACCAGGACATGCGCTCTTACCAGACACCGGATATGTTGGTGCCTTGATCTTGGATTTCTCAGCCTTTGGAACTGTGAGAAATAAATTTGGGTGGCTCAGTCGGTTAAGCATCTGCCTTCGGCTCGGTCATGAACCCAGGGTCCTGGGATCGAGCCCCGCATCGGGCTCCCTGCTCCACAGGAAGCCTGCTTCTCCCTCTCCCACTCCCCCTGCTTGTGTTCCCTCTCTCCCTGTGTCTCTCTCTGTCAAATAAATAAATAAAATCTTAAAAAAAAAAAAGATAATGAATATTTCTGTCACCCTAGAAAATACCATCCATCATGCCCTTCCCTATCAACGCCAGTTTTCAGAGTTAGAGCCACTGTCCTGTGGATAAGGGGCAGCATGAAAGAGAGCCCCTGACTTCTCAGCTGTATTCACCTGGAATTTAGCCTCTTCAACAAAGCTGGCAAGGAATGAGAAATGCTGGCAGCCTGCCCTTTCCTGGGAGGAGATGGAGCCTTGTGTTCTTGCTCTACCCACCTGGAATGGAGTTTCCATCATCCTGAACTGGAATAGGGATAGAAGGGGAACCAGCAACATTATTCTTAAAAGCCAAAACTGGGAACGATGGAAATGTCTATCAACTGGTGAATGCATAAATGAAATGTGGTGTATATTCACACAATGTAATAATATTAAGAATATAATGTTATTAAATATGGGTGTGTGCTCTAACATGGTTGAACCTCAGAAACTTAAGGCTTAGTGAAAAATAGCAGACACAATAGACTTTATATCATGTGATTTCATGTATATGAAATATTCATAAAAACAGTTCATTAGAGATTGAAAGCAGATCAATGATTTCCTGGAGCTGTGAAGGGAGTGGTAGTGATTGCAAATGGGCATAAGGGTCCTCTTTAGGCTAATCAAAATGTGTGACAATGACTACGGAACTCTATAAATTTACCAAAAAATCATTGAACTGTATACTTACAATGAATTAATTTTATATGACATAAGTTATACCTCAATAAAACGTTATTAAAAGTCTGCTGGGGACTTCTGCTTCTGAGCATGAGAGGATAATAGGGCCCAGAATTATTCTCCTGTAAACAACTAGAATACCAAACAAAATACAAGGAACCTCTCTTTTCATACATGGAATGCAGACAGGGAAGAACTGTGCTTCTTGAGAGAAGGAGAAAAATGAAGTAAACCATATAATCACCCAGGTTTTTTGTTAGGAGGTTGTTTGCAGATAGCAGAGTAAGAAGGGGATGGGGGCACAATAAAAGGGACTGAACTTTCACTGAGTTGAGGAGCCAGACATTAAAGGTTAAGGAAAGAGATGTAGCTAAAATATGTAGGTCAGAGTTTCAGACAGGAGAGTATTGTGGAGAAAGGGTTCAAGGTCTTCATGAAAGGTCCTTGAGTAGTTGGAAAATACCAATTTGTATGTGCATAGGGTGAAACCCCCTGAGGCCAAACGAGAACAATTTCTAAGGAGAGAAGGAATTACTGGAGAGCTATTAGATGGGAGATTCCCAGAGCTCACAAAGGGCTTGGACTTGTGCATATTCCCTCCAGCCAGAGTGAAGATACCTCCTTGAATCCATGGGGCAGTCAGCAAAAGCTCTAAAAGGGCCATGGCATTCAAGTGAAAAAAAATTAGCCCAACACTAGACCTATCTTAGGAGGAGCTAAAAATTAAAGAGTCTTAAAAATATTGGCCCAGGGGTGCCTGGGTGGCTCAGTCGGTTAAGCATCTGCCTTCAGCTCAGGTCATGATTCTGGGATCCTGGGATTGATCCCCACATCAGGCTTCCTGCTCAGTGGGGAGCTTGCTTCTCCCTTTCCCTGTACCTCTGCTTGTGCTCTTTCACTCTCTCTCTCTCTGTCTGTCAAATAATCTTAAACAAAAATATTGTCCCAACATGCAAGTAACTTAACTGCCTTAAAAAAAAAATGATCAACGTTTTTAAAGAAATACAACAAAACCAAGCAGTCAGACACATAAAATTGACAATGTCCAGCACTCAGTGAAAAATTACTAGACATACAAAGGAATATGAACACCTGATACTCAACAAGAGAAAAGTCATCCAATGGAATCAGGGTCAGACATGACACAGGAGGTGGAAATAGGAGACAAAGACATTATAAGAGTTATTACAAATATGTGCCAGTTATACTCAAGGATGTAAACGAAAACATTACCGTTACATAATAAGAGAAGAAGCATAAGATTAAAAACAGGAAATGTATCTTTTTTTTAAAGATCTTATTTATTTGAGAGAGAGCACGCGTGCGCACACACACACACATGCGTGTGAGAGAACGGGGGAGGGGCAGGGGGAGAGGGAGAGAGAATCTCAAGCAGACTCTGTGCTGAGGGCAGAGCCCAACACAGGCCTGGATCTCATGACCCTGAGATCATGACCTGAGCCAACATCAAGAGTTGGACACTGAACGAGTGAGCCACTCAGGCACCCCCAGGAAATGTAATTTTTTTTTAAAAGATTTTTATTTATTTATTTGACAGAGAGAGAGCACAAGCAGGGGGAGCAGCAGAGGAAGAGGGAGAGGCAGACTCCTCGCTGAGCAGGGATTCCTGATGTGGGGCTCGATCCCAGGACCCTGGGATCATACCTGAACTGAAGGCAGACACTTAACCATCTGAGACACCCAGGCACCCCAGGAAATGTAACTTTTAAAGAAGAAAATACATTATCTGAGATGAGAGTTCCACTGAATGAGATCAACAGCAGATTGAGCATTATAGAAGAATGATCAGCGAACTTGAAGATGTAGCAGTAGATCCTGTTCAAACAGCAAATAGAGGGGGGAAAAAAGTCTGGAAAATGGCAAACACATGTTCAGGGCCCTGTGAGATAGCATCAGGCCACATTACATATGTAAAAGGAGAGACCCAGAGATGATGAGAGAGGAAGAATAGGAAAAGAACATTGAAATTAATATTGGCTTCAGTTTTTACAAATTTGATCATAATTGTAAATCCACAGACCCAAGGTACTCAACAAATTCCAAACAGGATAATATCTTTCTTTCTCCCCTTCTTCCTCTCCTTTCCTTCTAAACACACACACACACACACACCAAGGCATATATTAACCAAATCATTTAAACCCAGCGAAAAAGAGAAAATATTAAAACTGGCCAGAGAAAAAGACAAACTACAAAGAGAGAAAGGTAAAAATGACAGAATTCTCACAAGAAACTATGAAAGACAAAAGAATTTGAAGAACTGAAAGGGAAGAAAATGTTATCCTAAAATTCTTTATCCCATAAAAAATATCTTTCCAAGCTTATGTAAACAGAAACTTCTCCAGACAAATAACAGCCAAGAGAATTCACCACCAGCATACCTACACCACAAGAAAGATGGGACAAGATATTTTGGCAAAAGGACAGTGATGCCATAGAGAAACCTGAATGTATACAAAGGAATGAAGAGCCATGGAATGGTTAATATGTGGATAAATATGAAATAGCTTATTTTTCTAATTAAAAAATCTCTTTAAAATTCTGTTTGAAAAATAGTATGAGATTTATAACAATATATTATGGGGTTGAATTTGGGGCTTATCCAAGATAAACACACAGAAGCAATATATTACATGGGGTATGCATAATTCAAATTAATAATAACAAAAATCTATCTATGTCCTCACTCGCCCTCCCCACCACAGATTCAGAACCAGCAGGAAGAGTCTTAACGACCAGAGGTAGAGAGACGTTATTTCTGGAGAGGAGGCAGGGTCCAGTCCTCCAGTACCTCCTTGCTCCACAGAGTTGTACAGGGGTGAGTCTCAGGATACAGTGGTTTGACAGATCCTCATCCACCGGACAGTGGCACCACCATGAGGAAGAGGGCTCAGTTACAATTTGCAGCCTTATCCTCTTTGGAGCCTCTGAACCTGTGGGGAAAACACAGTTCTGAAGTAAGAGACCAGTTCTGTGGATGGCCTTCTCTGGAGAGGACAAGAAGAGTGAAGCTACCCAAGGGATCCCAGAATCTGGGATACTGTGAGAAAGGGCTTCTCACCTGGTGCAGTAGATCCTGGTGAGGCCATAGGTGAAAAGGAAGCCAGCTCGCCTGAGGGTCCCTCTCAGTAGGGTGAGGATTAGAGGCCAGGGGCTCCACTGCTCCCCGGAGACTTGGGGGCAGGAACAGGAGATAGCTGGGGGGAGGAAGAGAGAGAGGAGGAGGAGAGTGAATTTCCTTAAGTCCACACCTTAGTCTTGTTCCCCTCAGAATGCAGATGTCCTGCATATACTCACCCTGCACAACTAGGTTCAGGGAAACATGGTAGGAGTTCCACAAGTGTGGAGCTAGGCAGGTGAGTTCTCCTCCATCACCCAAGACCGTCGGGGGCAGCACTAGGACCCCGGGATTTGAGGGCTGGGAGGGGCTCAGGGTCAGGCTTCCCCAGGACCAGCTCAGCCTGGTAGGGAAGTTACCACCAGTGTCAAAGACCAGGCACAGGGACTGGCCCTCCTGAACTCGAAGAGAAGCGGCATTGCCCAGGACCTCTGGGACTAGGGGACAGAGAAAAGCCCGAAGGGCAGGGCTGAGAGCCCCTTCTCTCCCTCTGCCCTTCCACAGACACAGGTGTGGAAAATAGTGTCTCTCAGACAAGTGTTACAAGCAAAGGCAAGTAAGAGTGAAGGTCCATCTGTTGAGGTGGTGAGAAGGAGAGGCACCTGATGATCCCAGGACATGTGGATGGACCTCTGAGCAAGAGTTGGCATGTCTAGACCTGGCAGAGGACATCCCAGGAGGTAGGCTTTGGTGTGTGATGCTGAGGAGGCGCGTGGACACACGTAGGTCTGACCACTTGAGGGAAAGACTGGGAGGCTCACACACAGGTGATGCTCCCAGCCTTTCCTCTAAGGGCCACAGGGAACTATGGGAGGGTCTGAGCAGGGGAGGAACAGGGCCAGATCTAGGGCATGTAGAGACACCTTCAGGCCGAGTTGTGGTGGACTGCGGGCGGGGTGGTTGCAGAGACTGGCAGGCCAGAGAGGAGGCTGGTCCAGATGCAAGTGGTCTCACTATGTCCCGGTGAGAGAAGGCAGAGGCCCAAGGTGGGGCTGCCGCTGCAGGGATGGAGGAAGAGAGGCCACTTGAGACATTTTCCAGAAGTCGAGTTTGCAAAACTCGCTGAGTCATGGGGAGTGTTGGGTGAGGCACAGAAATGTCTAAAGTGACTTCCAGGATGTTGACTCAGGTTGCTCAGGTGGGAGGGGCCTCCCCAGGGTAGCGGAGGGCGCTCTGGAGGATCTGGACTGGACCGAGATGGACAGAGACGTGCGAGGGTCTTCAGGGCAGACATAGGACTAGAAGCACCAGGGCCCAGGCTTACCCACAGGGTCATGCAGAAAGCAGCCAGAGGCCCAATCCCCAGCAATAGGAACCTGTATCTAAGGCTCCTGGTGGGACAGCGAGATGTCATGGTCATAGGAGAAGCAGAGAATCAGGAAAAGGGTATGACGGGAGAGTGAGGGGAGAGAGGAAGCAGCCACGGTGACAGCGAATGGTCAAACTAGGATTCACAGTGACCCTGGAGAGTCCAGCCAGGGGATGGGTGTGGGACAGACTTGGGACCAGGGAGGGGATAAGGAGCGATGGGGCTTCATTCCTTCAGACCCTCACATTCCCTTATTTGACTTCTGAGATGTCTGTTGTGCCCCGGGGGCCTCTCCTACCTGTGCTATTTCCTCTGAAGATGCAGATGGTCAGGTTCTGTGGAGCATCTGGAACAAAAACAAATACTTGGCCACCTGCAGTATGACGAGGTGGCCATGAGCAAGGGGGTGGGGCCTGGGTGTTCTCTCTATCTTGATCCTGTGCCTCTAAGAATTCTCCCCAAGTATCCCACCCAAGCCCTGCCTCCCTCTCCCCAACACCCACAGCCCTCAGGGACCCTGGCGTTCTGGCCTGGCACTCACAGGATACGTTGAGCTGGATGGTCCTCTCCGTGTTCACACCAGCTCCGGGGAAGGCCACTCGACAAGTAAGGTTGGTGCCGTGGTCCTGGGGCCTCGGGGTGAGAGTGAGCACGGAGGAGTGGGGAGTCTTGGAGCCCCTGGATGTGGATGTCAGGTATCTGTGTTAGAGCTGAGGAGGAGAGAGACAGAGATCCTGGAGT